CTGGTTTCAGTGTCCTGGGGTGACCTTTTGACAAAAAAATTTTTTTTAATCAAGCCCCCCCCCCTCCCCCGGTCAAGGGTGTCCCTCTTTTCCAATCTGAAAATCTGGTCACCTTATCCATATCTAACTAAAGACTCATTAAAAGACACCTTGTCCATATGAGCCATAAGTGACTTCAATAATTTTCACTTCAAGACTTCCCCATTTCAATACTAGTACTCGGACTGTAATTCTCACTGCTTCCAGGTAATGTATATGCCCATGATGGCGAACCTATGGTATGTGTGCCATGGGTGGCACACAGAGCCCTCTCTGCCGGCACAAGAGCCATCATGCCAGCTCAGTTCTACAATGCATGTGCATGCGCCTCCCACCGGCCAGCTGGTTTTTGGGTCTCTGCCATCTATGCACGGGGGGAATGCATGTGGAAGATGCGCCCACATGCAAGGGGTAGGGCACATGTGCAGGACTTTCACATGCATGCACGGGGATGGGGTGCACGTGGGGAGAGGTTGTATGCATCGGGGGGTCATGCACAGGGTGGGGGAGCGTACAGGGGGTGCACGCACACTTTCACACAGTGACAAAAAGGTTAGCCATCACTGGTATATGCATTCTACTACATAAAAAAGCTCTGCCTTTAGATTTATCTTAACTGAATGAAGCTGGGATTTTTTTTCCAGTTCCTACTTCAGTCCCAACCTCTGCTGATACCAGTCCTATGGATGAGTGTGATGATGACCAAGCCAACTGCTACAGTGGAACAGGTGATGACTTCCATTTGACAGGTGCATCCACATTTCATTGCAACTCTGTTTTCATATAAATCATTTTCACAATGCCATACTTATTTTATCTTTATTACTTACTAGAAAAGTTATAACATATTCATGCATAATATGCAACAAGGTATTGAACTTAATATTCATATTTGGATATACTTGCTCTGATACATCTGTAAATTTGAGCACTTTAATATGCCTGCCTTTCAATTCTTTTCATTAATAATTTGATTTAAATCTGCTTGATTAGATATGTGACCTGAATACATTAATAAACTGAAAATACTTCTTAATTGAGGGATGTGGACAATATATGTTGCCTATAGGTAGATGAGATATTTTAGCTTTCCTAGACTAGTGTGCGCGAATGTATGCCTCAAATATGCACAAACTGACCAGTACTATTGCCTAGCAGAAAAGTGAATATAAAATAGGTATAACTAAAGTTATGATACATAGTTAATTTCAATATCTGTGATCTATCTGTGAAACTAGGAAGGTTAGTAAAGATTGCAAGGAAGATGGTATAAATTTAGTTATGAATGGAAGAAATAACATGTTAGAAAATATTATTTGGTGTCATTTTGGGTTGTGGTAGATACCAGTGAATATTGATAATGGAAGAATCATGATATATTTGGGGAGAAATTATGCAATAATCTAAAAATGAGAGCCAGGGGGGGAAACCATTCTGCTAAGCAACTTGAACAGATTAATAAGGAGAAGATAAGAAAATTCAACATAAACAATTGGGCTATTTGGAGACTAAGAATAAATTAATGGTCACTATGTGACAAATATCTGTTTAGAAAAAAATACTTTGCTTCAAATGCATGATTTAAACATAAGTCTGTAAGTCATACAATTTTAGAATTCTGAGCTGCCCAGAGTCATTTGGTTGAGGTGGACAGCTATAGTGGATGAATGGATGGATGGATGGATGGATGGATGGATGGATGGATGGATGGATGGATGGAAGGAACGAACGAACGAACGAACGAACGAACATAGATCTAAAAACAACAAAATGAATATACTATGTGTTTAGATATTGAAGGTATGATGTAATAAAAGAGATTGAATGAGGAGAGAAGTGCTTATAATTGCTGCAAAAATGATGTAAGTTGTACAAAGCATGTAGAGAATAAAAGACAATTGCAAAAATGTTGACAAAGAGCAAGGCCATATGAAGATGTGGAGGAAAAGTGGAGAAAATTCATAGTAAGGAAGTAATGGTGGAAGTAAATGGAGTGGCACAGAGCCAAATCGGCCTAACAGAGTGATCAGATTTAAAATTAATTATGGAATAAGAAATAGTCATTTGTCAAAGAATAGAAATGAAATGAATGATAAAATGTTAATGTCCAACAAAAAAACAAGGACAAGATACTCATAGACAATGCAGGATGAGTTTTTTAAGCTACACATATTCATTGTACTCAGAGATGTTTTGAAGACTCTAGAAAAGAACAGATGATGACACCTAACATGTAATGCCGGTATGAAAAGTGCAGCTTCATTGTATATTGCAGTGAGGAATATGTTATCTGAAAATTAATGTATCAAAGACCAAGGTTGATGTTTTTGACAGGGAAATCAAGTGAACAATTACAAGTTTTACATAAATAGCTTAAGAAACTACAGAAATATTCTACTATGTAGCAGGCAAAGATGAAAAATAAAGATGAAAAGGCAAACATGAAAAAAAATGTATGCGTATGTGGGTAATTTAGTGCCATTTTATTTTGCTGAAGTTGATTAAAACAAAAACAATGGATTAGTATTAAATTGTAAAATACATGTTAACCAATTATAGTACAACTTTAGCCCTAATGAAAATCCTGGCATTTATTGTTTAAAACACAATGTGTAAATAAGAAAAGAGAAAGATATATTTTCCTCCCCCTGAAACAACCTTTTAATACAGAAGTATGCTAATCACTTGTAATTTAACTGTCTTAGCTAGATTGCTAAGTAGGCTAATGCAATCTTGGCTGAAATCCAGTTATTTATAACCTGGGGTAGTTTTCTTCCAAATTCCATTTAGCAGACATTACAATTGGAACAGAGGAAGAAGGGGGTGGTTTCCTACTTTTTCCTTTTCATTAATATTCAGCCTAAACTAGAACTTATTGGTGGTAGTCTGTTCTTCCCACTTCAGAAATGCATTTAAGTCTGTACAAAACATCTAAGCATCAGCAAATTAAAAGAAGCTGCAAAAATCAGAGAGCTAAAATGGTATCTGTTTCTTATATAAACTACACTTTGGTTACTGTTTGAAATTTTCTTATCTCATAAAACTTTGTTCTAATTTGTTAGTTAGGATTTGTCTGTTAATCAAAGTGATGTCCCTATAAATAAGTGGACTTCATTTTCATCCTGATGAGTTATTGTCCAATTATAATTAATGAAGTAATATATAGCTGGTCTGGTTAATATTTATTCTTTCTTACATGATAGTGCAGCTCCCAACATCACTAAATGCTTAGGGTAGGTTTTATCCTTATGTAATGTGTGATTCATGGAGGGTATTGATAGCCCAAATAAAATTCATTCTTATTAAGCATCACATAGTGATGATGCTCAGTTTCCCTCTCCATCCCACCCAAAATTTTATGGAAACAATTAAAGTTTATTAAGTAGTTTTTTAAAGACATCAAAGTTAAGCAAACTCTCAGCATTCTCAGTTCCATAACATAAATATTATGGTAGTTTCCCCGAAAACATTCCATAAGACAATATACTACATGAAAGAATTGTGTCTGTCACTTTAACATTTTTTCTTCAGCACTCAGACAAAGGAATGGGATTAGATATTACACGGTGTCAAACTCGATCACTTCAAGGGCCGGATCATGACATATCATGACATTTTTTTGGCTTTGCAGAGCTAGGGTTGGCGTGGCCTGTGTGTGACGTATCCAGCCTGCAGGCCGCCAATTTGACAGGTCTGAATCATTAGGGAAACCCCTTTATAGGAACAATCAAAATCAAACTCACAGTGTTACAAACTTTTCTTAGGCCAATTGTTCTTGCTTAGGTCTCTTACATCATTATTAGCAGATTGTTCAGTGGAAGAATAATAATAGAATTTAGCTAACGATTTTAAATACAATTTGGGGGGGAAATGAAAAAAGTTGTGTTATATTCAAGATGTTTTTCAAATAAAGTGTCTCTTGGAAATATATATACATAAACCTTGATGATTCAATTTGCATGAACACTTACAAATAAGATGATAAATGGATGGACTTTGACTTTTCTGTGTGTGTGTGTGTGTGTGCGTGTGTGTGTGTTCATTTTTTTCCAGGGAGTACCACAGCTGCGATTACGGAAAAACCAGTACCAACTGATACTACAGTTCAGCCAGGTAGGCTAAAAAATAATTGTCTTTGGATAAAATGCACTACATTTCTGAATTGTGTGTTGTGTCAACAACAATTTAAATGAATTGCAGGATCTTCCAACTTGCCTTCCTTCAAAATGTTTGAAGGATAATGGAACATCTGAATTCTAAGCTCGGTTCACGAAACACTTTCCTTCTTTTATCCAAATTTGTATACAGTAAAGAATGAGTGTTGATGTATGCCAAATTGTGACAATACTATGAAAATATTCAGCAGCTGAATTGCACACTGTACTTTCTGGGAGAAAGATGATATCTTGTCTATGATACATTACGTGTTTGCAAACCAACGGGAGAAAGGCCCTCAAGAACAGAAGTAAAGTTCAGGCTATTTATATCTTCCATTCTTCTGGAAAAACTTTGCCAGGTTTTTTTTTTTCCTCCAATCATACAGTTGGTAGTTTTACAATATTCTTTCCTAGGTAGACTTCTTTGAAAGATTTTATGCAAATTGCTTAAACTTGAGCAGAGGAAAAAAAAAGTTATTACTGGCAGCTGGTCCTTTCTCCTCAATCAATACAATAGCTAATAGTGGTTGGAAAAGCTCTTAATTTGCAGTTTCATTGGGCTATTTTATTATCCCGCATGGAGAGAGTGGGAGCGGCAGAAAGATCCCCCTCCCCTCAAATTCTCTAAGTCTGATCAGCAGTTTTAAATGCTTTGTGTTAATAATTGTAAAAAGGGGGAAAGGTCACTCCTCCCGTTACTCCCATTTCCTTTATTAAATGACAATCAGGCACAGCCTCAAAAGTAATTTCACAGGCTATGTGTCTTTGTGTGCGTTTCTGCCATACAGAGGCTTTTGCTATAAGCAAAAAAAAAAAAAAAGAGTGTATCAATAATGAAAAAAGCTTCCATAAAAGACAACAGTGTGACAAAAAGCAATCAGAGTAAAGTAATTAATTCCAAGATTTTGTCTCTTAACCTCTGAATTTCCTTGTCATAAAACGCTTTCCATGCTTTAAATTAATTTTTCTTCCTCCAAGTTTATTCAGTCAGCATATACTATTGTGAGCAGCATCCTGTTTTTTCTATCTTCAGAGTGTTTTTAAAAAAAAAGCATTATTGGAGCATTACTTTTTTGAGGGCTATTTTTTCCTTGACTATAACTTTAGATTCAGTATTGTTTGATTTCTTTGTGTTTTGAAGGCTTGTCTATGGGGATTCTCAGTCATCCAGGTCATGGTTGTCTCAAAGGTTCTTTTTCGACTGGATTTTATTTTTTTTCTGAAAATGTTTTGCTTCTTATCCAAAAAGCTTCTTCAGTTCTTCAGATCTTCTTCAGAACTACTGAAGAAGCTTCTTGGATGAGAAGCAAAATGTCTTCAGAGAAAGGAAAAGTCCAGTCATCTTTTGAAAAAGAACCTTTGGGACATCTCCAAGGCTTATATACTGAAACGTATAATAAGGTAATGCTATTGGTTCTTATTTTTATTGGTTTTGTCATTTGAATATGTGTATTTTATTCACATCTATTAAGCAAAGAAAGATTTGTGTTTCGTTAGAAGTGACCCTGCTTTTGTATGACCTCTGAACAGTTTTAGGAAAATAGAAGTAGGACTGTAAAGCTAATCTAACTACATCAGTGTTTCTCAACCTTGGCAACTTGAAGATGTCTGGACTTCAACTCCCAGAATTCCCCAGCCAGCACTGGCTGGGGAATTCTGGGACTTGAAGTCCAGACATCTTCAAGTTGCCAAGGTTGAGAAACACTGAACTACATCTAGTAATGACTTATGTAGAAAAAATAACAAAAACAGGCAGATTGCTGTGACTGCCAAAACTTAGTTTCCTGCATCCATTGTCAGCCATTCAGTTGTGTCTGACTGTTGGTCATTCTATGGATTAGCATTTTCCATGCCCCCTTGTCTTGCAGTACCTCCTTCAGATATGCCATGTTATCCTGGTGTCATCCTTTATAGTGTCCAGCCAAAGGCTACCAGGGCAGGCCCTTCTACTCTTTCCATCCCCAGCATGATTGATTTTTTTTTTTAAGTGAACGAGCTCACATGACTTGGCCAAAGTATGGCAGCCTTTATTTGGCGAACCTGGCTTTGAGTGATATTTTTGGTAAGGCTTGGTCTAGGACTTCTTTATTTATTATTTTTGCAGTCCATGGGATGCGTAATAATCATATACAGCATCACAATTTGAAGGTATTCCACATTTCTCCTGTCTGCCTTTTTCAGAGTTCAGGCTTTGCAACCATAAGTAACAATTTCAAAAATTATTGCCTTAACTAATCTTCATTTGGCTGGGAGGCTGCTATCTTTACTCTTCCAGATGTTATTCATCCTGAACATTGCCGTTCTTCCAAGGACTTTATGTCTTCAGATCTCAGGACTGCAGTCACCACATTGGTTGATTTTAGAGCCTAGAAAGATGAATTTTGATGGTCTCCTTGTCATGTTTCACTATGACCCGTGTGTTCTCTTCAACCATCGTTATCTTTTTTTTTTTTTTTTTGCTATAAGGTTGCAAACTTCTATTACAGAAAAATATGCCTGTGTCCTTCTTTGTAATTATAGGTTATGATAAAAATAGCAAGTTGATATCTCCATCAAAGTTCCACCTGTACTTTTAGGTGTATTACATTTTTAAAAGCATAAAAACACGATCTCACCATAATGATGTCCCTCTTAAATTTTCTGACCAGAGTTTTTCAGACTCCTTGTTTGTAGATATCACTAAGGTATTCTTTGGAGTCTTGTCCAACACCAACATTCAGAAGCATTGATAGCCTTTCAACCAGTGGTGGGTTTCAAAAAAATTTGAAACCTCTTCTATAGGTGTGGCTTGCTTTCCAGGTCCACTGGTGGAACCTCTTCTAACCGGCTCGATCGATTTGATGAACCGATTCTACCAAATAGGTGCAAACTGGTAGGAGCCCACCTATGCTTTCAACTCTTCAAAGTCCGAATTTAGTATCTAATGCATTTAGAATTTAGTATTTAAAGTATCACAGGGCCATGGCTTCCACAATATTGATATTTGTAGGCTTAAACACATCATGGCATTCAAATATCTTTTCCAAGGCAATTGTGGCTACCTGTATCAAGTATTAGTCAATGGCATAATCCTTAATTGTTTGTTCCTTTTACTATTGAGAGTTGATCTAAAAGAGAGTATTTAACACTTTTATATCTTTATTGTCATTTCTAAGGCTGGATGCTCTACTTGTTGTCCCTAATTTAGTCTCTTTTATATTTAATTTTAGTCCTATTTTTAATGCAATGAGTTCCTTGGTTTTTATTATTCCAGACCTTCTGCATTTTTGACTGTCAGAATAGTGTCATCAGTTTAATGAAAGTTATGAATATTTCTTTCTCCAACTTTAAAATCACATTCATCTTCTTCCAACCATCTTCCCTTAATATAAATTCAGCACATAGGTTGAATAAATAATGGGAGAATATATAGCCTTTCTTTACTTTTTTGGCAACCTGGAGCCATTTTGTCTTGCCATGTGCTGTCTGTACTATGGCTTCCTGACAAGGCATAGGAGCATCTTGAGATGTTCTGAAATTCGCTTTTTTTCTAAGCTCATTCCACAGCTTGACAAAATAGACTCAATAGAACATCTTTCTGCAACCAATGAAGCACATAAAACTCATTTTTTTATTATTTGGCTTTCTCTGTTCTCCAGCAATAATATCATATGAGGCTGTCATCTGCGTTGGATGATCCTAAGTATTATTTCGAAAGGAAAAATAAGGATGTTATACAATAATTTGCACATTTTGTTAAACTTCATTTTGGAGGGTACCCTGTAGCTGGCATTTTTGGAGAAGGGAATTCATTCAACAGTTTGCATTTAGAAATCTTGGAACATTAAGTACATACATTTTCAAGGTGCCAAAGTTGAACAGCACAGCTTTTGACTGTTGGAGTCCAGTTGGACTGAAATGCTGTATGAATTTAGTTCATTAAGTAATTAAAGAAAAGTAAACTTGATATATGCCATTCTGATGCTTTGACTTCCCTATCTTACTGTCTCAGAATTCCTAGTCAGTTTAAATGAATATGCCTACCAAATCTGAACTGCAAAAATTTCTACAACCAACGGGTTGCAAAAGAGTTTATTTATTTTATTTTTTTATTTTATTTGTTTTGTAAAGCATAAGATAATAGACACAAGTATATACAAGATTGTGTATACATGAAATGGATATGACTAAATGGGGTTGTTAGGACAGGGACGGTAGGCACATTGATGTGCTAATGCACACCCTTTTCAGACCTCTTAGGAATGGGGTATTTTTTCCTACATCTCTTTGCTGCCATCTAGATTAGTCTAGATTTTTCCAACTCAGATCTTTACACTCTCAAACTCTTTAATCTTAACGCACATTAGACCAATCAATGTTCCCCGTACTACTAAAAGCATTTCAAAAGTGGAGTTTGCAACAGCACCGAGGCATGATCCATCCTTTTCCATGACATTCCAGCAATTAAAATGCCTGTTAAAAATGAAATATGTCACAGAGGTGACTATTTTGAATGTCTATTCATAGTCAAACTTACTCTGGTGCTTGGTAGCTTGATGGTTCCATTGTTTCACCATTACTTCAAAACTGCCTATGTGGTTAGCTGCATCATATTCCTTTACTTGCAGAAAAGCTGTCAAAACATATCAAAACTGGGTGGGCCAAGAAAGATGAATGACATTGCAAAGGGCTTGGCTAGCTGGCTGCTCATGTGGAGCATTAATTGTTCCAGCTGTGAACAAGATGTGGCCAAGAAATGCAGCTGCTGGCTACTCTCATAGGCCAGATTTGTTTTAATTACACAATAGCATGTAATGTCTGTGCTTTCAAAGAGTCTTATAGAGATTTGGATGGTGAGATTTTGTCCTCAACTCTAATTTAAACAGCTTGTTAGGCATCTATCGTGCTGCTGCATTTTGCTGCTTATCTGGAAAGCTGCAAATATACAAACTGGGTGGTTTGTGGGGGGTTTGTTGT